CAGGGTTTCCCTGTGTAGCTTTGGAGCCTATCCTGGCACTTGCTCTGGAGACCAGGCTGGCCTCAAACTCACAGAGATCTACTCATTGTGCTCTTGAGTGTTCTACCTACTATCCCTGCATAGTAGACTCTGGTTAACAGAATTCTTTTTTCTTTTTTGACATCTAAACCCTACAAAATCACATGGCCTGACATATGTTTGACACCCCCATCCTAATTAGTGCTGCCTCTTACGGGACGCCTTCCTTGATGATTCCTCATGTCCAACGATTCCTTTCTCCTTGCATGCCTCATGCTGCTTCTTTTTGGTGACCCAAAGCTTTATCTTTGTCCATCTCTAGGAGCCATCCAACCTTCACCAAGAACCCTTGAAAATAGGATTCTCACCTCACCTGCCTCATGTATAGGATTCTCACCTCACCTGCCTCATGTATGGAGTGTGTCAAAGAAAGTACCAGACAGAATGTCTTCCCTGAGCTTCAGCTTCTCAATGAGCACCAAGAGTTTCCTACCATTTCCAGATCTTACTCTTCCTCATGGGAACCACAGAGGAAAAGAATAGCAAACCAGAGAAAGGTGGAGACATGGCACTGAATGCCTCAGTTGCAGGCCTTGGTCTTCTTCCTCCCTTCCATAACTATTTCTCACAAAACTGCTAAATGTCTAACAATGTAAAGTGTTACAAAAGTATTCAAACTATCTACATAAGGCTTCTGGAATACTGTAGGTTCTAGTTAATTGGCCACAAGGATGGTTCAGATCTGTCAGGATCCAGCCCCTTGGGTGAAGTCTCACGGGTGATTGTGAAGATCCTGTCTACAAAAACATGCTATTTTGCTCTTCCTAGCAAAGGTTCTAAGTCCCGTTTCACCATGCAACTTGGTTTCTAACTCTGTTACTTTTCAGTCATGAAATCACTTCTAAGTTGCATTCAGGAGTTTAAAGTTTATTTGAAGCTTCATAAGAAACACTATTCTAAGGAACCAAATCCTTTCCTGACACACACACTGACTACTTACTAGTGACAAGTTGCTGGCAGTTAGATGGAAGGGACATGTGTGTTCCTCTCATTGCCCAAGTATGGCTTCCCTTCTGCCTAGAGAGAGCTTAGTGTGACTATCTCATCCCTCATCATGCTTTTGCTGGGCAAAGCCAGGAATTAGGTGCACTGGCCTCACATGCATCAGTAACAGGAGGAAAACAGGACCTCTTTGATGTTCTCTGATGGCCCAGGGTGAGCCACCAAACTACATTGGACAAGAAAAGACAGAACAAACGGTGTCCCAAAGAACTCTTGAAGTGGGTTTGTTTGGCTTGAGAAAACAGTATGTATGCAGGGGACATTCAGACTAGGAGAAACACAGAACATTGTTACTGAAGGGACCAGCTCCCCATTTCGGCAGCCATGACAGTAACACGTGCTTGCCATGACCTTGTCCTAGTCACTAGAAAGTCAGATGCCTGCCTCGAGGCAAGGAACCAATCAGAAGTTAGCTGGTGACGCTATGCTTTATGGCTCTGGGTGTGCTTTAGGGACAAGTGCACAGCAATGATGCGCAGAGCATAGCAACCACCCTGGGAGGGCCTATGGGCCATAACAACCAGTTGGCCAATCAACACAGGGCAAGCCCTCCAAGCCTGGAGGCACACCAATCCTGAGCCTGTGCGTACCCCTAGACACTCCCCTTACGCTGCCCTACAAGATCTCTATGCAGACAGCTTCAAGCTGTCTTTCCTAGCCATCCACCATGGCGGGTGGATGAAAGGCCCGAGCTAATATGGGGTTAGCTTGTTAAACAACTATAATAAAGCCTCATTCAGTTTGCATCAAGCTTTCGAGTCTACCTGGTGATTGGGGTGACCGCAGTCCTGGGCTGAGACCCCAGAGACCTGAGCTTTCCGGGGGTCTTACATTACCAATACTTACAACTCACTATATTGTTTCCTAGATTTCTGCTCTATCAAGTGGACAATATGAGTCTTCTCATGGATAAGAGAGAAAACCCAAAACAAGAAGAGTTTAGCAGCTTGTCCAGGTCCATGATGGCTAAGTAAGATTAACTTGATCAGCAGGGGTCAGTGAGGAAAATATTAATTATAGTTCTTCTGCCCTAATATTAGTCCAATAATAACAACTTTGATTCCTGGATTTAATGTTTGCCTTATATTGAAAACAGAAACAGGGTGCAAGAGTCAGGATTACAGTTCCAGATAAAGCAGAGAATACCCGAGCACATGGGTCACCCAAGCAGCTAGGGAATTTACTGCCACCTAGTGGCAACCTGTGCTTTCAGCAGAGAAGCGGCCAAGAACAAAGATCAGGTTTCTGGTCCAGGTGCTGCAAACTCCTGATTTGGAGGGTTGAATCTACCAGTAGTAACATGTATACGTGTATACATCTGTTTGTGAAGGTTAGTGCTGAATTAATATAACAGGGAATCAAGGCTGTTTGTCAGCAATTCCAGAGTTCTTGGGACAAAATATGAGACTTTTGTTTTTGCCTGATACCTGCTGGTTGGATGGACATCTACTCACCTATACCCCAGCACATTCTGATCAGGAAAGAAAAGCCTTGTGACATACAGCCTGTTATTTCTCAACTTCTTAGTACAGGCCTGAATGTCTGTTGAATGAAAATGATTGAACATATTTTGTTGTTATTGTTGTTTTTTGAGACAGGGTTTCTCTGTGTAGCCCTTGCTGTCCTAGAACTCACTCTATAGACCAGGCTAGCCTGAAACTAACAGATTTGCCTGTCTTTGCCTCCCAAGTTCTGGGCTTCCAGGCTGGCCTCAAACTCACAGAGATCCACCTGCCTCTGCCTCCCGAGTGCTGGGCTTAAAGGCGTGCACCACCACTGCCTGGTTTGAGTAAAGATTTTTAATTCAAATGTATCACCACTCAGAACAAGACAGGCCAAGATTAAGCAGCAGTTTATTTGAATACTCTACGTAGTAAACATTTGAAGGGGGTTGGTGGAGAACTAGAAGAGGCCTCTTGGAGAACTTTCCAGGCAGGCTAAAGGGGCCTTGGGTAGGTGACCTGTTTATAGAGCAGTGGATGCCCGGAACTTCTGGGTCAAACAGAATACAGCAGCTGTGAGGGCTGTGTATTGGCGAGCCAAGAGTTTCACACTGAGGTCATGGTAGCCTCTCTCACAGGTCAGTTTTGCAGCCTCCACAAACTGGTGGTAGGTATATACCACGTCCCTCAGGTTCCCTGCCACCTCCTTGTGCCGAGTGGAGCAGCGGCTACAGTCTGTGAACTGGAAGCAGAGGCCAGCCAGCTGCACC